GTTTAGGGTTTAGGGTTCAGGAGAAGAAGAGGCTGCAAAGCTTTGGGGCTTGTTTGGGTTGACAAGGGGCTTAAGGGCTTAGGGTTTACGGGTCAAGGGCTTAGGGCTTAAAGGGTGTAGGGCTTTGAGTTTTACGGCTGTGGGTTCAGTGTCTGGGCAAAAGAGCTTTCTTCGGGCTGTGCATGAATAAGTGCCGTCCACGCTTGAAGCTCTCTCTTGCGGTCTCGAGGCATCGCATGGACATGTCGTTGGAAGCTCACAGAAGGATCTGGCCTCCTGTCGGAAGGAGGCATGGAACCCTTCATTCAATTTCATGCACGGCAGCCTCCAGGCGATTATCCTCCAACGTCGGTGCCAATATAGGATACTTCATACTTAAAATAGGGTTTTTTGCGTCGGTTGTCAATAACTATAGTTTCGGGTGCCCTATGGAGCTCTGTTGGCACTTCCCAGAGAACCCAATACCGCCTAATTAAGGAATATACCTTCAATCATAATATTAAGGCCCTTATAATTTTAAGGTACATTCCTTAATTAAGGGGTATTGGGTTCTCTGGGTTCTTCAGCCTACAGTCGGGTGCCCTATGGAGCTCTGTTGGTACTTCTTCAGCCTGCAGTACTTAGAGGATCATGGGACTTAGTAACTAAGGCTATAAATACGGTAACCATATGTAGATTTAGTTATAACTCCCACTAAGGTACTTGTAACGTTACAAACTAAGTCCCATGATCCTCCAAGTAAGGCAAGTTGAGACTTCAACAACTCGGCCTCTCTGCGGTCAGCGGCTCGGCCATCGCAGAGCCGCTACTTCTCTGCTCCTGGACAGAAGATGAAACACGTAATGTAGGAACCTGATTAAGAAAACCTGTGCCTTTATTAGGGTTCTTAATATGAGCCCTAATAGATTGGGTTTGTAGGGCCAGGGTTTCTCAATCAGGTTCCTACATTATTCAATATCTGCACGATACTCGCTGATCCCAGTGATGCCACTTATAGCACGCTGTCCAGCAAATCAAACCTTGACTATACTCCGTATCATACCCTAAACCCTAAACCCTAAACCCTAAACCCTAAACCCTAAACCCTTAACCCTAAACCGCTCCGTTGAAGTAGTCCCGTATAGTACCCCGCATCGTCGCCCCGCTGACGTCTTAACAGCAGTCTGGTCTCCTCAGTGCGCTGCGTGAAGGAACCCAGAGCACGCTCCTCCTCAGATACACTGAAAGCTTATAAGCTTTGGGTCAAAAGACGGGTTACGTACCAATAACCTCTTTTTTTTAGGGTTAAGGGTTCCTAAGGTAGAGGCCTGTAAAGTCTAGTGAGAGGGTGCAGTGTTTAGGGGTTTTGGTTTCTCAGGGCTGTCCCCTAAGACTCCTAAACCCTAAACCCTAAACTCCTAAACCTTAAACCCTAACTCCGAAACCCAAAACCGCCGAAGGCCGGCTTCTTTGCGAAAGGCTTCGACCGCCCTTCTTTGCAGCCGAAGATGCCCTCTCCGCGGAGATCTGCCGCACGAAGCTCGCCTGCGGAACCCCCAACTCCTCAGCCCCTAAACCCTCCTAACTTACTTCCCTAATACGCCAGGGAAATACAAGGTTAAACTTTCAGGTTACTCTTCAATTATAAGAACCCAAAAAGTCTAAAGGTTGGGTCTTGGAGAACTAAGCTAATGTTGGGGGGGGCCTTCATAGTTGGAATAAGGTTTTGGGGCCTCCTTGTTATAAGTATAGTATAATATAACTCCCTTTGGAGAAACACGACAGCTTCCTTTGAGAAATTATATACTTAGAGGATCATGGGACTTTGTAACTAAGGTGATAAAATCAAGAAACCATAGTTATACCTAATCCTACCTCCAACTGAGGTACGGAAACCCCTACCTACCAAGTCCCATGATCCTCCAAGTATAGTCAATCTCAGAAAGTTGGAACATGTATTTAGGATGATTAGTGCTGGGATCCCCTATACTTTACCTGAAGGGCATGAGGATAATGATGCTCCA